AAATCCGTATTAAGAATAAAACAAGGATCTAGATCTGAAGCCGACTATTCTATTGAATTTCGTACCTTGGCAACAGAGGTAGTGTGGAATAACGATGCACTAGCAACCGCTTTCCAGGAGGGCTTGGCTGGAATTATCTTAGATGAGATAGCATCGAGAGAACTACCTATCCTACTCGAAGATCTTATTGACTTTTGTATTGTCATAGACAACCATATAAGGGAGAGGCGTACTCATATAGAGGCTCTAAGGAGGTTATTGTAATATTTTAAACAGGGCTTCTCAAACTTTTATGGGCCGAGACCCACTTTTCAAAATGGTAATTTTTCAAGACCCACTTGCTTTTAATGCATATTTTAAAAAGTGAACACCGTGGCAATCAGCTTTAGATGCATACAATTGGCATACCATATGCAATCAGCTTTAGATGCAAAAAATTGGTACATCATGGCAATCAGTTTTAGAGGCATACAATTGACACACCATGGCAATCAGCTTTTAGATGCATACAATTGGCATACCATGGCAATCAGCTTTAGGTGCATAGAATTGGCACACTATAGCAACCAGCTTTAGAGGCATAAAATTGGCACACAATAGCAATCCGCTTTAGATGCATACAATTGGCACACCGTGGCAATCAGGTTTAGAGGCATACAATTGGCACACCGTGGCAATCAAGTTTAGAGGCATACAATTGGCATACCATGGCAATCAGCTTTAGATGCATAAAGTTGGAACATCATGGCAATCAGTTTTAGAGGCATACAATTGAAACATCATGGCAGCTTTAAATACATAAACTTGGCACACAATGGCAATCAGCTTTTAGATGCAAATAATTGGCATAACATGGCAGTTTTAGAGGCATAATTCTGGGATATCATGGCAGTTTTAGAGGCAGAAACTTTGCACATCATGACAATCAGTTTTAGAGACATACAACTGCTTACTCACAGACTCAGAATCAGAAGTTCTGTGTCCTGCTCTTTCATCTATGCACATCAC